ATTTATTTATTTATTTATTTGGAGAAGTCACCTCCCAATAAATGTCATTTTGGAAAATCTAACTGCTCACTTTTACTCAGTACTTTTACTTTTAATACTTAAGTAGATTTTGTGTCAGAAATTTACTTTTGATACTTAAAAAATATCAGATACTTTGACTTTTACTCAAGTAATATTTTTAGAGAAGACTTTAACTTTTACCAAAGTATTTTTATAATAAGATACTTGTACTTTTACATATGGCTATATGTGTAAAAAAGAATCCATGTCTGTATCCCTATCTCTTAAAAACTTATTTTAACTCTTCAAATGAACAGTGTAGTCGACAGGTGAAGATCAGGATTTGAAAGTTTTTATCTAAAGTCTTARAGTGGAATTTTAGACTTAAGTGCTGAAAATGTCTTAAATTTACTCATACTTTCAGTAGTAAGTGTAAATACAAGTTATCGTAACTCTTAAATCTAAGAATCGCTCTTGTTTTCCCAGATATTTAAGACAGCTCCAGTGGCAGGGGCTGAGCCAGGGGGTGGCCAGGGGTGGCCATGGCCACCATGGACAAATCTTTGGCCACCCCATTGGCCACCCTGCTGAAACAACCTTTAGGGATGTAATAATCCTCCTGAACACTTGGTGGCAGTGTTTAACAGTTTGAAACATCACCAAGCTCTATCACTGAAGAACAGTAAAGACAAGGAAGTGATGATTTTATTTATATACAGAACATATGACTATGTAATCTGATTTATGGCATCAACTTTTGGATGTATGGCGACAAATTTTTTTGTCACCATAACAGTGTTATTTTATGTTCTGAAGGCTGCATGGTGATCTGTGTTTGGTTATGAGTAGACCTATCATTAAATGAGAAATAGTGAAACACCCCTCTAAATTCACTGTTAGTGGTTATCAATATTGCACCTGTTCATTGGGTAAAATTATTAATATTAGTTTTAAGCATGCAGTTGAGGGTCATAATCTTTTGGCACAATGACATGCTACAATTAAAAATAAATCAATAAACAATACAAAAGTAAAAAAGCACCCATACCAAATCAACTCACTTTTTTAAACAAACCCCTTGATATTGTCACTACCTACAAATATCTTGGAATTACTTTGGATTCTCATTTGACTTATCGTGATCATGTAC